TATTGTCCGGACCCGAGGACTTTGCGTCCTTGAGATTTTTCAGCTCCCTTTCCACGACAGCTGTCGGGAACAGTATGGAGTCAAGCACGCGACCAGCAGTCTCAACAGCATTGCTAGCACTGCGACTGCGAAACTCTGTTTCTCTAGTAAAAACCGAGGCAAAATACTGTCCTAAGTGTTCAGCTTTCTCGCTGTTCACAGTGATCTATACACCATTACCATCATTCAGCACCGCGACCGGGTCCTTATTTTTCAGTCTACTGTTAAGATAGTGAAATAAAATCCTAGGTTTCTGTTCAGCCTTTCGGATAATCTTGGATTCATACTCCTTCTGTGCCTGACGGATACATTTTTTGACGTCATTTCGTTGACGACGAAATTCTTCGAAATGCGCTGGCGACTGGATGCCAAGGCTGTTGCCAGCCGTTCAGGAAGTGCGTGCAAAGTTAAAATCTTAAACATGCTTAACAGCAATCGATTACTGGCAGGAGTGTCAGACCAGTATTGATTTTGCCGGCATATTTAATATTCTCACTGTTTTACTCGTTTTCCGTACGTCTGACGACGGCCTGAGGAACCAACGTCGAGAATTCAGCAAATAGTTTTTTAATATCCCAAAGAAAATATTTGACCTCAAATTATGTTTCTTTAGATACCCATCTCATTGGTTAAGGGGGTTGGATTTATAACCAACAGGTCGCGGGATCGAGCTACAGGTGATCCACATCTCGGGGTTGGGTATGGCTGGCTGACGACGGCCAGTAAGCCAGAAATTGCCATTGCAGTCTCTCTAGTCCCCGTTGGTAATGTCATTTTGTCTATATACTAAAATCGTCGAAAGGTCAAATCCATTTTTAATGCAGGAACCTTTATCACTTGCAACTTCGAGAGCTGCCGCCCAGTTCGTCGTAAAGCGTATGACGAAGTATACATGAAGTTAACCTTATAACCAGCGTCTCAAATCTACAAAATAAAGTTGGTTGCCTCTAGTAAAGAGCACACTTACCTCCAAGATATATATATATATATACTTATTGGAAAGAAATGAAAAGTTCATAGGGATGCCCGTTTTTTCAACATATACTTGTATATTTACGGGTAAACTATAATAGAGAGTGCTGACCGATGGAATTACCGGGCATACTTGACCCACTGCGCTTTAGGGCTCGATCTAGAGCTCCTTATGAATTCGCGCAGCGACTAGCCATGTGCGCAGAAGGAAAATGCGGACACGTACAAGAAAGATAGGGATGGCCGCTTCTGGCTGAGTAACCGTCATCAGTCGGTCATACCTGACCCCAGGTCTTTTGGCCACAGGAGGACCATCCTAACATCCTACCAGTAGGTCACGGACCCGTTGACTAGCTCTAATGATTTATTAACGGGAAATAGTCATACCAGTCTTCCTTGCTTTTTCTGGTACACTTCACTTGAACACACGCGTAATTTGTCTATGAAGTGGACAAACGACATTTTCGTTTCTTCCCGCGGTTGATCCCAAGTTAACCTTCTGAGTCTTCCAGCATGCACAGACCGCTCAAATACTGCGTCATATTGGGACACCTGAAGTACGGAAGGTCAATCCCTAATTGCTCAAAAAATCAGATTATGCATTAAATCTGGCCTTACTAGGACAATTCCCAGTCCCTGGGTCGATTTCCATCTTGTTCCACACATAACAGTTAGATTCCTAATCTTTCTCTATTTCATATTCTTGTCTTTCTTTTTCTGAACGAATTTTAACCTCGGTTCTGGTGTTTTATCATATCGTTCGCCAGAAGATACATCACTTTCAATGATCCTTTGTAAGTGATTTAGGTTGTAAGGCTAAAGGAAACAGTTAACCAATAAAAATGAAGTTTTAACCCTCCTTCTTTGATGGCCTGAGATGTCCTGTAAGGTTCTTGGACTGATCCAGCCATATCATCAACATCGTTGGAATCCGAGAGTTCCCTCAGTCACTTCACATGAGCCAGAAACCGAGTGTGTGATCATAACTTTGATTTGCCGTCCCCCGGTCTCCAAAACTACCACACCCTACTAGAGATTTCTGTCGTTCCAGGCCAGAGGATATCTCGTGGATAAAGCTCACCCCCCAAATGCACGTGTAGCATGCCCTCCAAAGAGTACGGTACCGTCTATGCTTAACCTACCATTAATCACAAGGGTAATAATCTATGAGAAAATAGCTGGCTCCATTCAGATATAAAGGGCAAAAATCAGTGTAAAATCTCGCTCAAGACGTTATATGGATAAATAGAGCGGAGCCTATGAAACAAAATACCGAGTTTAGTTACTGACAAATTACAATATGAATCAGGTATAGCTAGCAGCTGGTCGAACGTAAGAACTGTGCGCCTATTTTTCTGAGCTGTCCAGTACGTGTATGAGCGTATTGTCGGAGATACGAAAACATAAACAGGCGATGGAGCATTTGCAAAGCAATATAATCGGGCAACGGTTAGTATCAAGAGTTTTGAGGCGGTTACTTAGAGCAGTGTACGACAACGGAAAATAAATTAGTTATTTAGGCGGTTCCTTCTTCAGTATTTAAGGCTTCCACTGCACTTCCACCTTCTTCTGTCAGTGAAATACCCCATTTAAAGGGAAAGTTTATCACACTGCACGGTTACCTTCTACAGAAATGAAACCTTCTTAGCCATAACGTTTTCCTACCTAAGACTCGCCAGTTCGATCGACTGCTGAGCGGTCGAGGATCTGCCACACTTAAAATTAAATTAGCTAGTATCCCCAGCAAAGTGATGAAACAATTTCATTTTTTTCATTGCTGGTGATCAGAACGGATGAAGGGTCTCTAGAAACCACAATGAACAACCGATAGACCAACGGCGATCGACATTCCATTCAAACAAAAAAGGATAGCGGAGTCACGCGTTACATAATGTCGTAGAACCACTCACTCAGGAGCCAGATTCCTCTAATTATATAGTAGAAAAGTTGTCTACAGCTGCAAAAAGAAAAATGCTAGGGAGAAAATAATGTCAGCCAAAAACCGCGCTATTTTGACTTTAGAACGGTTTAGTTATGCTATCAGAATAATTATTTAATCGACTGCACTGAGATAAAAGGGCAATTTTCTAGAAACTGTCGGTGATGACTAAAAATACCGTCGACTTGATAAAGGATAATCCGCAAGGGCTTATGACTTATGTGGACCAGTCTGTCTTTAGTAGAACAGTCTCTGCGTTGAACGAACGTCAAGGGACAAAGAATGGCGTTTACTACGAACGGACATTTTGGAATGCACCAAAGCCAAAGTGGAGTGAAGTAAAACGGCCGCATCGCTTGAATTCACACTACTTATGTGCAGCAAACGCAAATATATAGGTACCTTTGAAACAATATCATACAGTAGTAGAACGACAAAGTGGTTTCCCAGGGCATATACTCATTGAGGGAAGTTTCTTTGTCTAGGAAAAGCGGTCTAGTTTACCGTAGAAAGAAGTGGCGAACAAACAGAATTGACAGGCCCATGTGAAAGGGTTTCGAGTATAAAATCTCGGACAGAGATAAAATTAGTTATCGATTAAAAATGCATCAATACAAAATAAAAGTGTGATTCATGGCAATTATATAGTCGGAACCTATCTGCTTGTGGTCAAAAGACCTTAGGCGAAGACGCATGAGCACCAGCTAGCTGTGCAAGATTTGGACCAGAAGTCTCCCGAATCAACTAACTGGGGTACGTCGGAAACTTCGGCGCGCTGGCGGTGGGGACTCGAAGTGACGACCACACGGTAAAGTGGCTATAAGGAGCGTGGTTGAGAAAGGAATGTTCACACAACCATCACATCGATCTACTTGCACGCGGCCTGTGTGGCTTGGCGTCGCTATCAGAAGAAAAACAGTCCAACCCACAGGAGATCCAAAACAAGGTTTTCGAGGGTTTGGACTGTCATCTGTCTCCTCAGACAGTGGGAACTTGGGCAACGCCGACAATGGCCAGTCGAGTGCGTAGGTATGACTCACTCATAGGAAATTGGCGGCCATTGCGAGAGGCACGGCTGTTAGATCAAATAACGCGTCTAATAACGCCAGTGCCTTAAAAGGTTCTCCCCAGTCTCTAAAGTTGAGCCGCTGAGTCCATTACTACAAACGGACCTTTCCCGATGAACGCCTCCTTTTCTAGGGAGTTAAATTGTCCTCATGGGGTTTATCTAAAAAGGGTCCAACAGGGGGAAGGAAGCCCGAGCCCCAGGCATTAGCGAAGATCGTAAATATGTGTCAGAGATTGGCCGATAGAGACGGGAAGAAAGTTTGTTCTAGGACGCGGTCAATGTAGTGACTACCCATTGTTGTGTTTTACGATCACACTCATCTCTCTGTGAAGCAGTAGTCCATCGCCCTCCCCAATCGTTATTAGAGGCTCACTTTCAACGGCAGCCATGCCACGGACCCTATCTCCGCCTCGGACAAATGCGCTGAGCATATACAAATAAGGGCTAGCTGATCACGGACGTATATTTATCGAATAGCCGGAAAATTCCGGCGACTCAATCTGCGGTGCGAGGGTATTATTAGCTTGAATCTTTGAATTCATACTCTGACCGGACATCAAGGAAAAAAAGAGGGTTTCGAACACGTTGAAATAATTCCTGCAACACACCACGCCATATTTCGTCCGTACAACTGTAAGTTTACCACCACTGCTTCGGCCAGCAGCCTTAGATACATGTGGTTTAGAGCGCTGTGAGCATCGACACCTCTTTTTTTTCTCTCTCTCTCTTCTACAACTGTTGCATTCGAACAGAGAAACAATATTCAAACGACTACGTGTGGACGTACTAGCCGTCTAGGTACCAGCCCCCATCTCTCGCTTCCACCACTCACGCTGATCCCCTACCTCTCAGGAACTAGACTGTAGTACAGCGCTGCTAGGCTTGCATCCAGTCCAGATTAAGGATTCACTTCAACCTGGCTCTCAGTCTCGGAGACCGAAGTGAGCAAGACGCAATTGCCCGGCCACCTGGCTCACGTGCTTACGCGCTCCTCGAGTGGTTAGTTGCTTTGGCCAGTCTATGCCTCAGGACAGAATATGGAGTGGGGATGTCGTTGCACTTGTTGATAGACTGAGGTCCCGTGAACCATGACTCAAGCAACTCGCGGTTCACGCGATTATCCCCTCTCGCGAGAATTTCGGCCTCATCGAACTTGAATGTGTGGCCGGGTCTCGTCGAATGGGCCGCGACCTGAGAGTTGGCGTCATTTCTCCGTACAGCTGCCACGTGTTCGGCTATTCGCGTCCGGAGCAGTCTTCCAGTTTCTCCGACGTAGTTGCTTTGTCCGCAACTGCACCAGATCCGGTAAACGACTCCAGATGTTTCTTGCCGTGGCAGTGGGTCTTTTGGTCTCATCACTTGACGCCTCATGGTGGCCTCCGGTCTGTACGCAACTCCAACCCCAAGTGGTGCAAGAAGGTGGCTAACGGCCTCGGAGACGTTCTTGATGTACGGGATCGCTCGCCAGAATTTGGGGTCGGCGCGATTTTGTCGCTCGTCTCGTTTGCGCAGGCACTGGTTGACGAAGTTGCGCGGGTAACCGTTTTCTCGGAAAACCCGTCGAAGATATTGGGATTCGGCAACCTTGTCTTCCGGTTCACTGCAGTGCGTCTCAACACGCCGAAATAGCGTTCTTACGCAACTGCGTTTGTGGCTGATTGAGTGGTTACTGTTGAAATTCAGAATTTGTGTCGTGTTCGTTGCTCTTCCGAACACTTTGGTCTTTAGGCCACCACAATCTTTGCGACAGACGAGGACATCAAGGAATGCCAGCTGGTTATTCTCTTCCTCCTCCATCGTGAATTGTATGTCCGGGAAGACGCTGTTGAGACGTTCTTTGAACGTTAGCACCTGATCCCGTTCGATGACGACGAAGGTATCGTCAACATACCGAGCCCAGAATTTCGGTCTGTGGTGTTGGAAGACCAGCGACTCCAACCGCTGTAGCACCGCCTCGGCGATGAATCCCGAAATCGGCGAGCCCATTGGTGTTCCCTTCACTTGCTCGTAGATTGTTCCGTCAAACGTGAAGTACGTCCTGAGACAGAACTTTAGGAGCTGAAGGACTTGGGCATTTCCGAGACGATTCTCCGTTTCATCGTATTTGTTTCGTAGGAGTAGCTGGACGGTCTCGATTGCCAGATCCTGGGGGATAGAAGTAAAGAGGGACGTGACAGCAAAAGATACCATGACCTCATTGGGCAAGAGACTTACTCCTTTAAGCTTCTCCAGGAATTGCGTTGACGAACAGACTGTGGTGTCCGAATCAGCGGTCAGAAATTTGAGGCGCCGAAACAGCCATCTTGCCAGTCCGTACGTTGGAGTTCCTTTGAGCGAAACAATGGGCCGGAGAGGAGCGCCCTCCTTGTGCACCTTTGGGAGACCATAGAATCGGGCCAAAGCCGTTTCTTGGGCTCTCGCCATGCGTCGGTCGGTCGCTGTTATTGCACCCGAGTTCTCCAGTGCCAACAGTGTTGCATTAATTTCGCGAAATTGATGCAACACTGTTGGCTCCTGGATTTGACGGCATAATCGCTAATCAGATTTAACTGTTGTTTTTTCAGCAAAAAACACGTTGTTTTTACGTTACCCGACTGTGTTGACGATTTACCAGCTATTTGGTAGGCAGGTTTATAGATAGAATTTGCCTGTTTTGAGAAATTTGTTATGCGAATTTCGCGGTACGCCCACGCATGCACGCATGCACGCACGCACGCACCCACACACACGCGTCCGACAGTTCGACCGTCGTTGCCGACGGTATTCACCGTATGCTCCACGGCAAGGTGGAGCAGGAACGGTGACTTGTGCGTGGATTAGTTTATGGTGGCAGCCGACTTGCACAGCATCCACCGCACCCTCCCCTCCTCCCCCACCTGGGCCTGATGTCAAGGCAGAGTCAAGAAGATTGGGGGCGGTAGAGGTGCAGCTGGATGGCACAGTCGAGCCCGCACCTTGGCGTTCCACTCCACACCCCTTGGTCCACACAGCAAATAGCCGGGATTTAAGCCAGCAACAAAAGAATTGCTGGCGCGGCCGGAACTGCACCCATGCGTGCCGTCACACCCGGCCCGGATCGAAGGGAGCGGGAGTGCCATAATGGTCACGTTAAGAGGGATCCATTGCAGCCTGACTCTCAGACCACTAGTCAGCCGCTCCGCACTAACGCAAAAAATTGGGCCGACTGTGAAGCCCAAGTTATCCCGTCAGTTGGCAACGTTCCAACCCACTGCTTTTAGCACACCGTGATAGCTTTAAGCGCGTCAGATTGTTTATAGTGAGGAAAATACACTGAGTCGTCGACCTCATCCTCTCCTCCCGTTCCCAGGCCCCAGCCACTGTCCGAGCCGGTCAGTTGACTGATGCGGGGAACGGGCGCGGTGGCTGACATATCTTGTGACCTTGTCTGCGCGCGCCACGTGTGCGACGTTGCCACCCAAACACAAGCATTGGGATTTCACGCAACAGGGGTTGGACGGCATGCATCGCAGTGCGCGAGTGTGCCATAGGTCACGTTGAGAAGGAGCCGTTTCAGCCTGGCTCCGCCGCTCAAAACAGACTCACGCACAACTGGGTAGACAGCGTGGACTGAGTTGGGGCGTCAGTCAGCAGCCTTCCAAGACACGGCGCTTGACACCCCGTGAGAGTCTCAGACTAGAATCACACATACAGAGAAGAAGCAGCATGGAGACGGAGTCGAGACGCACACTTCCCACTTGCGTGAGAGGTGGCAGTTGAATGCTTGTCGTTGGTGATGTTGTGTGTTACAGGTAGAGGAAGACGTTATGGTGTGGTTTAGCCGGCGTTTGTCTACCGTAGGTTTTCGTGAATGCACATGTGGCCTAATAGGCCCATGCGGTGGGCGGCTGTGCGGGTACGGTGAGGGCAGTTGCAGCGGATGCGTCTTGTGCAGGTTGGTGCTCCAGACACTGGTTAGCCAGTCTCTGTGCGATGGATTCGCAAGTGACTGATCAGGTCGATGCGTGAGGTGAATGTACGGGGACAGTGTGACGGTGGGTGCAGTAACCGTCGCAGCGGATGTTGAGGCGATGAAGGAGAACGTAAGTGGGTGTTCGGGGGTACGCTCAGTGTTAGTTCTCGGCTGCGAGGATGAGAGAGTTAGACGAGGAGACAGCAACTGGTGTAGTCCGAGAGCTGCAGTTGGTACGGAAATGTCCTACAAGGCCGATTGGTGACCGGAGCGTCCGCTGGCATCGTGGGTAGGTCGGGGTGGCTGAGTGCCGGTTTTGCGAGGTGGACGCAGTTGAGATTTGCGAGCCTTGCGTTTAGCATTGGCGGCGATTATGCAGTTGGTCTCGAAGGTCGCTGCGCCTGTCTTCCTCCAGGTCAGTCGGTCTCGGGTGAGGTCTTCCCATTTGGCCGGGTTGATCTGCAGACGCTTCAGGGAAGTCTGTAGTGGACAGCCATAATGGCTACCTCGCGCCTCTCGCTAGCGCCTGCACCTACGTTCTAGCGACAGCCTGCTATGGCACGCACGTCTGCCCGGCTTCGATTTTTCTCGTTGCAATTCAGTGTCTCCACCACGCATTCGGTCGATTCTCTGCATGCACCACGCGAGGCTTGTCACTACCTTCGCTTGGGTTCGGAGCCAATCAACGCACCTCCTATCGCTGATTGGTAAGGCAGGCGGGAACAGTCCAGAACAATAGAGCAAACAATCCGCAACGACACTTTTGCAGCGGCGACCTTCGGCGACACAGGGTTCGTCGCTCTCGCGGACGCCGCCTCTGCGGCACCGGACGCATCCTCGTCCGGTTGCCAACTTTCCCCTTTACTATTCTGTACAGAATAAAGTGCCCTAACCAAATGGCGTCCTGCTTCTAACAATTTGGGATATGGCCTGAATTTGTGGCGTACCGAGCGCATACCATCACCGCTTAGCCGCTACAAGTCTTCAAAGTGCCCTTGTAGTGCCGGATTTGGCCCACTTGTCGGCGTGAACCCGGAGCAACATCTCCTTAGTAGAGTCGTTTGGGTAGTCGCTCGTCACCCATTCACACGAGGTGGCCGCTCCAACGCAGTTCCAGTTGTCTCAGCATGGTGTAGATGCAGAGGATTCCCGTCCGCTCCAGTACATGCGTGTCCGGGATCCGGTCCTGCCATCTCAGATTCAATGTCCGTAGGAGACAACTGAGGTGAAAGTGGCTGGGCCTCCGCGCCTGCCTCTTGTACACCGTCCAGGTCTCCGCTCCATACAGCAGCTTCAACAGGATGACTGCCTTGTACATCTTCAGTTTGGTGCTGAGATGGAGACCGTGATGGTTCCACACGGTGCTTTGCAGGCGGCCGAAGGTTTGGCTGGCTTTGGAGATCCGGCGGGCCAGTTCGTCTTCGATCTCGGTGCTGCAGGAGAGGGTGCTACCCAGATAAGTGGTTTTCCACCACTTGCGTTTGGACGCCGTTCCTGTTGATTTGGGGTGCGACGTCGGCAGTGTCGGCTGGCGGTTATTGCATAACCACCGTTTTCTCCGTGTTGATGACCAGTTTGAAGTTGTTGCAGACGACGGCGAAGAGATCCATACCCATTTGGATGTCCACTTCGGAGATGGCGTTGAGAGCGCTATCGTCGGAGAAAATAAGTTCATGGATGGTCGTTGTGGATACACGGGACTGGGAGTGCATGCGCCGCTAATTAAAGAGTTGGTAATCCGTCCCGTAGGCGGTGCGGATCTCAGGGCGTTCGCCACGATAAGCGTCCAGCAGCATGACAGTGAACATAAAACTGAAGAGGGTGGGCGCAAGGACGCAGCCCTGCTTCACTCCGTTGGTCACTGCGAATGCCTCTGAGAAATCTCCATTGTCCGTGACTCGCGCCATCATGCCGTCATGGAGCTGACGCACCATCTCAATGGATCGTTCTGGACAGCCGAAATTCTGCCAGATTTTCCCCAGTCCTTCGCAAGTCACCGTGTCAAAGGCTTTCTTCAGATCTACGAAGGTAGAGTAGAGGTGGATCCGCATCTCCTGGCACTTTCCCTGAAGTTGGCGGGCGGCGAAGATCGTGTCCGTGGTCCCACAAGGACGACGGGAGCCGCACTGGATTTCCGGCAGGAGACCTTGTTCCAGGTGATGGTTCAGGCGGTTGAAGAGAATGCGAGCATAGATCTTCCCGGCAATGTTAAGCAAGGAGATGCTTCGATGGTTGTCACAGAGTTGGCGATTACCTTTCGGCCCATAGAGATGGACGGTTGTGGCGCCCTTAAAATCCTGCGGGACTTCTCCTTGACGCCACATCTCCTGGAAGTGCGCTGTCAGATGATCCATGAGTTGGGGACCACCGTTTTCATAGACCTCAGCAGGGATCGCGTCCGATTCGGGCGCTATACAGCTGGAGGGCTGCTGCACAGCCGTGGTGGTTTCGTGGAAAGAGGGTGGGAGGTCGAGATCAGCACTGGTCTCCACTTGAGGCAGACGGGCGATGGCGGCGTCGGAGATGGCGGAAGGACGGTTGAGGACGCCTCTGAATTGTTCAGCTCATCGCTGTAGAATTTGCGTCTTCTCAGTGAGAATGGTACTGCCGTCGGCGCTTAGAAGAGGAGCGGTGCCTTTGGCTGTGGGACGGTAGACAGTCTTGGTCACGACGAAGAAGTTCTTCCATTCATTGCGATCCACATACCATTGGATCTCCTCGGCCTTGCGAGCCGTCCAGGCATCCTGTGTCTCGCGCAGCCGCTGTTGTACAAGGCAGCGACTGCGGTAAAAGGCTGCTTTGTTGTAGTCGGTGGGGCGGTTGACGTAGGCTTTATGCAGGCGGTTCTTCTCGGCTGGCAGGTTGTTTATGGCGGCGTCATACACACACACACACACAACCAAGCACACACGACGACAGTTCGACCGTTGCGAACTGCAACGTTCACCGAAAGCTCCATGGACTGACGACTACGCACTCCCTCCAAGACCGCGTGGGTTGTGTGGACGGGGGAATTTAAGTCATTACGAGCAATCAGTTTATCCGCCTTCGGCCCAGTCGCTAGGAGGACGCGCACATCTTCGTTGGACTTCATCTTCTACACCTCATTGGTACCGGTAATTAGGTAGGGGGTGTGACTCTAACGATGGTTGCACACTTGCTTCCTTCAAAGGGAAAGGCGAGGGTCAGGCGGTGGTCGTTGAGACCCTGCAATGCATAGGACAGTTGTCCCACGATGTCGTTTCCGATGGTAAAGGCGACTCCACCGTCACGCCGCTTTGCCTCTCCAGGACCCATCTCCCCCAGGGACCCCTGGCCAGAGAATCATGTCTCGCCGAGAGTTGAGGTGTCCAACTTGCAGCGCGTCAGTTCTCGGACGGACGGACTTTTCCTCCTTTCTGGTCGATTGCCACGGCTTATCCAAGAAAGGGCGAACAGCTCGGACACCAGGATGAGCAGCATCAGCCTGTTAACCGTTAGAGGGCATGGACTTTAAATTGTATTTCCACTGTGGATTTTGCATCTACGAGCGACGGAATCACTTGCAGACTGTGCGGTTATCAAGAATTTGCTTATGGTCCCCTTTCTGGTCACTATCTCCTAAATAGGGACTTTTAGACGTACTAGGTGGCTGACAAATTCCGCTATGGATCACGACTTTTGTTTGGTGTGAATACAACCCGAATTAGCCTGGACCGTCTACGGCGTCGCTGCTGCCCACACCATAGTACTGTTCGTGCATGGAGGGTGGGATAAGGGGCAGGACTATCGGGTGGGAGTTCCACACACCGGATATTCTCATCTGCTTTGGCCTGTCGGTCGTGGCGGTTACCGGGGTGTGATCGTTATGCAGAGCATAGCTTCGGGAAATCACAGATGAATGCCAGTCAAGGACCATGCGGAGCTGCAATCACTGGGTTAGGCTCATGGAACGAGCAGCCACTTATACAGGGTATATCTCCTCACTGACTTCCTAAGTTCGACTTTTGCACGAGGCGATGACCATCGTGTGTTCTACAGCGTGGTAAGTACATGACGGTGATTTGCGCGTGGATCATTTTATAATGATGGCAGACTTGCACAGCGTCTGCTGCACTCTCTCTACCTTACAGGCCTGGACCCGGTGACAAGACTGATTTAGAACGACCAGAAGCGGGATAGAGCGCAGTGACCAACAGGGTTAAACAACCCGTCTATGCGTGACACACAAGATCCGATCTGCTCACGGTGAAACAAGTTTTGACACAAGACAGGAACTGGTCGGCTCGGATTCCATCTGAGTGGGAGAGCCATAGTGGCTTCATTTAGAAGGGACCATTGCAGCCTGGCTCTCAGCCCACCGGTGCCCCACTCCACACAAACACACACTGGGGTGACTGCGAGGTCCAAGTTATTCAGTCAGTTGGCAACCCTCCAAGTCACTACTCTTAGTATGCTGTGGCAGAGTTAAGCTCATCAGACTCCTCATAACGCGGAATACGCTGAATCCGGAGTGTCGACCCCACTCTCCCTCCCTCTCCTCTGCTCCAGTTGATGCCCGAACCTGTTAACCAGCTGGGGCTGGGGTTGACGCGGCCTGAGGCCCACGTCTACGCGGGCCAGTACGTCACTTTATAAACCGCAGTGGTAAAGGTCTCGCGCCCACTCTGCGCTGCCAGATAAACGGTAACTAATAGGGCTGTAAATCAACCAAATACAAGCCTCTGTACGCACAGCCAACTGATCAGATAATCTTTAAACATGTTACAGTCCTGTTAGTGTTGCAGTTAACGGTGGCCTTCTACTTAGCCATGGCGATTTCCATTAACTGATTACCTACCCTCGACGCCGACATTACCCTCAACAATTAGTGTATGACAGTATTGGTATAGTATCCAGTCTAGGAGACTGCAAATAATCATGGCCCATACTGCAGCGAGCAGAACACGAGTAGAATCCATGCAGTGTCCAAAAAACCGTCTCTGAAACCGGACTGAGCAACACAAAACCTTGAGAGTCATAACTAGTCCCTACTATTCAGTGACTATCAGCCCAATGCGGCCAGATAGAGTTTTAAGAGCAATTTTTGACAGTCTACGTATTATGACAAACACGTGCGACTGCGTAGGATTGATGAAATTTATTCGTGCAAAATGCGAATAATGCTTCACGATGCAGAAGTACCTGAATTCATGAATTGTGCTTTCCATCCGGCAGAGAAGCAGACAGTATTGTGCCTAGTAGAAAGACTCAATCAATAAAATACGCAGCTTATTTTGCCTTTCTGAGATGGATTAGCAAACTATAAGACAAAATTTCATTTGCAGCATTTGAATTTCGAACTGCACTTGCCGGCAACGGTAGGTTGATGAATCCCAAGCAAACTATCCTACACGGGACTTTCTTATGTACTTGTTTCGGTAGGCATACTTATTTGTTTATTGGACGCTCTATGTAACTGGACGCTCTATGTAGCTAGAGGAATGAGCAGGCCAAAGTCTAAAACCCCATGCGTGATACGACAATAAGACGCACATGGAATATGCGGTACAGGCTTGGCGGCCTTGACCTCGGAAGGATATAGATGTCCTTGAAGGTGTACAACGACCTGATACAAGAGCTATTCATGGCCTCAAAAATTCTACGTACGAGCAGCGCCTGACGGCCCTGAATCTCTATCCCCTCCACTACAGACAGGGCAGAGATGACCTCATAGCAACGTTTCCGTTGCTAAGAGGACTTAATCTGGATGTCGACTGGGAGGCGTTTTTTGAAATAGCATCCAAGTCTAATCTCAGACGACATGATTACCAGCTTAAAAGGGAACTGTGCCACACAAATCAACGTTCCACCTTTTTTCTCACAGGGCGTCATTCGCCAATGGAATTCCTTGCGGATGTATGTTGTTAATTCCCCTACCGTGAGTGCGTTCAGGAGACAACTGAATAATCACCTGCCGAAAGGCAACCCGAACTGCCGAAGCCCGATCCAACGGATTATCGAAATGACTATAAACATACTACTAACATGATTTCAACAGATAATTTTTGTGCGTTAAACTCGACCCATGTGGAAATTTTCAGTGCGAATGCAGTGAACAATGTTTTTCACAATTTTTTCGTAAATGCCATAGTTTTTCGCTTTTATGTCCCACTATTAGATTTATGTATTCTTCTCAATAAAACTGTATGCAAATTTTTTGAAAGTTAACTGTTTTCCCTTACACCTGTACAATCTAAATGGAGTTTCCAGGGCTTCTTTCGTTTCCTCCAAATATACTGACTGATGCATGGAGAATCTGTATTGCTCAAAGGGCGTCAGGGGACATTCCAAAGACAGAAGAGATGAGATGAGAGCTGAGATGCTGAGAAACCACCTAGTCCGTGGCTCTCCACAGCAACTCAAGCAGATTGGGCCGCCCTCTTAATCGGACGGAAGCGTCTCGACGCAGTGTGGACTTAGCCACCGGAGTCCACTGTAATAAAAACTGTCAGCGAAGGAACTTCGGAACCCCATGGTCCACAACGGCCGAACAATGCTGATTTATCGATAAATAAGCCGTCCAATAATGTTATTTTTCGATTTCTTCAAGGTAACATGAACCCAGCTTGTGGATAGCGTCCTAACTTAACATGACGGGCCGTCTCTGTTCAGAGTAGGACCGTAAACGTCAAACCCTCCTCTGAAACTAGGCACTGCTCAGCATGCACATGCGGGATGCTTGAGGGTCTAGGACGCCATGTTCTCTTTTCTCACAATCCGCTATTCCATGTACTCGTCCGACTTAACTACTATGCTCCTGTCTCAGACCACGCTTGATCTCGTGGTGTTGTTTCCACATAATTCGATGTACTTACATACCCAACCAATGACCATTGACAGCTGTATGAAAGGTACTGAAACTTGTTAGCGACACTTCTTTCCGCTTCTGTTCACTTCCTTAAAATGAAAAAAACATGTATTTAGTGTCTACGTTGGACTGACAGGCGTCTTCTGGCTTAGGTGAAGAAAATTCAGGCCAAATAAGCACAAAACGCATCCAAACAATACTTTTCCACAGTAGCCGTGTCCAGTCAACTGAGCAATGTCCTGGTTCTAAACCTTCTCGGAAAAGTCATCAACGCCACCAAAAGTGACTCTTCTGCAAACCTGCCTGGGTTGAAATTGTCTGCAAGTTTGTCGCCATGTCGTCAGACAACTCACCATGATTCGTCGAAGCATGCCGGTTGAAACAAAAAATTAGTGTCCACGGCGTTTACCGGGGCTCACAACATCTAGACGTACCATATTCACTGACAGCCTCACACTCTTACCTGTAAGCAATCCACCGATTTCTTTTCAGTCGCATTTACGAACCTATGGGACTCACCAGAGGGGGACAAAGTAAGCAGTATGCTAACCATACCGAAAGCTCTTCCAATTCATGTAAATTGCTAGCTCTACTACCTTAACTCGGGCAGTACAGCACTTAAATTCAACGACCGGACATATTTTCTTGGCAAGCTGTATAAGAACCTTCATGCCGTTCCGCCACTTGACTTAATGTTCACTCCACAGCACGACAGGGGACGCATTTAGGTCAGTTCATGCCAAGTTATCTACATAAATGCTTCGTGGTGCAGCAACATGGGCGTCCGTTCACACCGTAACGGAGTGCACAGGTGCGCGAACTTTTTTGGAAAGGGAGGAGGGAGGGGAGGCCAGAGAGTTTTATGTACAAAGCCGCCTTACCTGCCAGGTTTGCAGGGTCTTTGTGCTAATCATCGACTAGGTCCCATTTCACAACACAACGTGGCGAGCTAAATACGTTGCTTGATGCAGTGAGCTTGCCTACTAAAAATTTTAAAACACAGAGCTAAATGTGCAATGGATCGGTCTGATATACTCTGTCCTTTTTTATCCCATCATCGGTGTGAGTGAAGCGGACCGGAAATGACAGTATCGGGCGCAGCGGTTGAAGTATCTTATAGCCTTCTAAGCTCGACACAAAACGAACCAACGTCGACTGTTTAAGCCAACTACCACATGAAAGGGACCATTTTCACGGCAAACTAATGGCATAGCGAAAACTTCGAAAGAAATAGTGCCCATAATATCCCGTTGGATAAAACACGGCAAGGTAGTGGACGGTGCTCTTTTGAATTGCCGAATATCAAAACCGGGTCTCGGCGACTTCTGGATTATCTTATTTCGTTAATGTAAGCTAGCATTCGATAAGATACTGCGAAGAGGGAAAATATTAGATCCTCTACCTAGAAGGTGAAATGTTCCTGCATTTGATGCAGAAGTTTTACATTTTTGGACTCGTGACATATTTT